GGCTCCGGGAGGAAAGGCCGGGCTTTGCTCCCGCACAGGGGGGCGGTAGCCGGAGGCGCTGGCCCGCCGTCCCGTGCTCTTCCCGGTCCTGGGGGGATCAATACCGCTGCCACGCCCTGTCCCCTGAAGCCAGATAATCCACCTGAGCTGCGGCGCTCGGTAGTCGTAAGCTGGATATCTTGATATTAGCAGGGGCTAATCCTCCGGCTATTAGCGTTCATTACTGCGTTATTAAAGCCTCGCGCGGCTGAGGCGCGCTCCGGCAGAGCAGCCCCTGAAAGGAGCTTTCCCTCTGTGTTTTTGTAACGCTGTATTCCCGTGCCGGAAGGTTCCGCCGGTGGCTGGCTTCGGGAGGACTGTCTGCAGAGTCGGTCTGGCAGTCGTGCGTGGAATAAAACGCATTTAGCTGTCGGCCAGGAGTGGCCGCGCGTAGGAACGGGCGTGAATCGTCCATTGTGAATGTCAGGAAGCGCAGCGGTTGCCAGCCCGCCAGCCCTCTTCCCCAGCGCTAGCGCGCTGCGATAGCCGCTGGAAGCAGCTTGCCTGAAATGTTCTTTCCTCAGGAACAGAATGAGCCAGGGAGACTCGAATCCAGCCGCAGTTCCGCACGCCGCCGAAGATATTCAGGGAGATGACAGGTGGATGTCGCAGGTAAGGCTGAGGAGGGGCGGCGGGCAAAGGGCGCTGAGTCCTCTTCGCTGGGAGGGCTGCTGGGCGAGTGCTGCACGGGCCCCGTCTGGCCGCAGCTCCCCTTCCGAGGCCGTGACAGCTCCGCTGCCCCGGAGCTGGCAGGCTGTTGGTACGCGCCTGTCTCGTAACGACGAAGCGGGGCGAAAAGCAGCGTTGCTGCGTGACCCGAAAGCTGCCGGGTGGCACCGTGTCGGAAAACGACTCCATCAGCTGGCAGAAGTTGCCGACCCCTTTTGTCAGACCAAGTGCAGAGCGGCGCTTTCCGGCGCGCGTCTTTGCGAGGGAGTGACAATGCTGCAAGCGGCAGCGGCGAAGCATCTGGATCGCCCGTC